TAAACATGGTTATTAGGGCCAGCCTGCAGTAAAGTGTAGACTGGAGTCTAGGTTACATACTAAATAAAGCGTATAAGTAAAATTGCGGAAAATAGAGAAAGGTATTAGAAAGAGACGAGGTGGAGGAAGAAGACGGAGAGCAGGGGAGGTGAGCCACAGGGAACATAGCTGGTGTTCTGCGTGTGAAAATCAAGAACGCTTTAGGCGGCCGTAGTGGGCGCCTTCGCATGGCTCGAGTATGAAGAGTAACCGTGGAGACGAGGGACGGTGGGTCAGAAAGCATCGGCCGACAATTAGGCGTTTATTGATTCGTGTAAAACGAAAATACGGCGTTAAGCAGCGATGCTGGTGGTTGGCGAAACTAAGAGTGATCAGGAAGAGAGAAGCCCGAAGCACCTAGGACCTTCCGGTAGTTCTAAAATAGGGGCAAATGCAGCATCTGTTGGATTTGTACCAAGCAAAATCATAGGCCTCCTGCATTTTTTTGGGTTTTCGTCCACTAGAGTTCGAAACGAAACACTAAAGGCAGTCAACTTGTGTGAATCAGAGTGAAGCAGGGAGAGAGAGAGAAGGGCAGGCGGAAAGAGAGATGGAAAGTTGGTAGATATAATTGGAGACTGTGGGCTATTCTTTCGTTGATTCGCGGGAAGACTGAAGCTCGAGGACTACTTCGACGTATGAAGGAGTGGGCACTATGGAAGACAGACCGAAATAGTTGGATAAAGAATGGTGGCAGATGGTGGAAAGCCGAAATGTGGTACATACGAGGACCTTCAGATTGAATTGTAGGACCACATCGGAAGTAGTATCACGACTCAAGAGTTTCTATCTTTCCTTAGACGACCAAAAGAAAAGTAAAAGTAAGTAGAGCTGCCGAATCCGTACCAAAGATGAAGGTATAAATACTTGTCATAAGAACTGAGTCAGATGCGGTTGGTCTCCGCCCTGCAGACAGTCAACTGTCATTGTCATTGGCAGACGACCGCTCCATCGCTGTTTTTGCCAAACTAGACATCTACCTCCAGACAGACAGCTCCAAGGTGGTCAAGTCGGCTTTTGATCTGTGCCCAGACTTCACGAAAAAAATTGTTGAAAGTATAGCTAGGCTGAGAGCAACAAGCATGCAAGTTTAGAAGTGAGTTGATGTGGCTGGGCGTCGAAAGCCGGAAAAGTGATACCAATTAGGAGAGAAAGAAAACAAGAGGAAGGTGTAAAATACAGGAGCTCTTAGGGAGGAAGGTGTCGATGGCTGTGGTAGAGGTGGTGCTGATATGCTGAGCTGTGGAGAGGTAGTCTACAAGCTGGTCGTGGTTACTGAGTATTGGAAGAGCAGGGATCAGTTGCTGGGGCAGGGATGGGTTGGCATAGAAACACCGTTAGGTGAAATGCTGACAGATAATCTGGCCCGTTCAACTCGGCCACAAGTGAACCTGCATAAGAGGTCTGGGGTGCGGATCAGATTAGGTGGGGGAGGTAAGGGAAGGCTGGAGATAAGCCAACAGTTGACAGGTTTTCTATCCGAGGTTTTGATAACAAAAAACACAACCCTTCGCCTTTTTATCCCATAAGATGGTGCGCATGTGTGTCTTTGTGTGCATTCGTAGTGTCTTCCACTCCGAACCTTTCTCGGCTTCCCGCCGGCGAACCAAGTCAGGGGACATCAACGACGAAAGGACTGCCAGGCACATGCTGGTCTCCCCATTTGACCATAATCAGGTGGCGGCCACGATCACGCACTGTGTAGTGCACAGCAAATTGACTGTTGCCCAAATGCTTGATATTCACCTCCTCGCAGGGCACAATTGGTCCGGACACACCGACGTAGAGGACGTCGTGACCTGACAACAAAAGTAGACATAAGTGGTTGCTAATTAGATGGGTAGGATGTAAACAAAAAGCCATGTGAAAAGATTTTAGTGGTCGTAAGTCTGCCAATAAAGGGTGCTTTTCTTTTTTAAATTTTGAAAAATATGTTGCCGCCATTTAATTTAGAGAGTAAAACGGCCTTGGAGTGAACATATGGTAAACTCTCTTTACGAAGAAATAGGGTCGTTACAAAACGTTTTAGCTAGTGATTGCCCTATAGACTATAATTATATGCTAATTTTCTGTTTTTCCTCATCTTATATATGAGATGTGTTCACCCTATTTTCCTTTGAGCTGACGGAGGATTGTTAGTTGAATTTTCCACACAATCATAGGAGTAGAACTTACATTTCCATTAAATTTCACATAGCCTTGCTTTCCTAAAAGCAATTCTCATCCAGGCAGGAGTTGACTGCCTCATCAGCACCTCCAGCGGGACTCGAACCATGGCAGTGTTGCTTCTAATCTCAACACGTTAACCATTACGCCACATTGCCACTATTCTCCTTGAGTCACAGGGCAGATGTGAATTTTAAGGAAGGCCAGCCATTTTCCAATATCAAATTTTGTGATGGGATTGTCGATGGAGCAAAGCTATATTTGCCATAGCA